CACTGCATCGCCTTAGACCACTGCACCACTCGGGAGGCCCCATCCCATTTGTTCCTGCATGGTAGCATTGCCTTTAAATAGTTTAACTTGGGTCAAACGTTTCGGGTAGCCTTCCACAAGCTTCCCACAATAAGTTGGGTGAATTTTGGTCCATTCCTCCTGACAGAGCTGGTAACTGAGTCAGGTTTGTAGGCCTCCTTGCTCGCACACGCTTTTTCAGTTCTGCCCACACATTTTCTATAGGATTGAGGTCAGGGCTTTGTGATGGCCACTCCAATACCTTGACTTTGTTGTCCTTAAGCCATTTTGCCACAACTTTGGAAGTATGCTTGGGGTCATTGTCCATTTGGAAGACCCATTTGCGACCAAGCTTTAACTTCCTGACTGATGTCTTGATATATATCCACAAAGTTCTATTTTTGTTTCATCAGACCAGAGGACATTTCTCCAAAAAGTACAATCTTTGTCCCCATGTGCAGTTGAAAACCGTAGTCTGGCGGTTTTGGAGCAGTGGCTTCTTCCTTGCTGAGCGGCATTTCAGGTTATGTCGATATAGGACTTGTTTTACTGTGGATATAGATACTTTTGTACCTGTTTCCTCCAGCATCTTCACAAGGTCCTTTGCTGTTGTTCTGGGATTGATTTGCACTTTTCGCACCAAAGTATGTTAATATCTAGGACACAGAACGCGTCTCCTTCCTGAGCGGTATGACGGCTGCGTGGTCCCATGGTGTTTATACTGGCGTACTATTGTTTATACAGATGAACGTGGTACCTTCAGGCGTTTGGAAATTGCTCCCAAGGATGAACCAGACTTGTGGAGGTCTACAATTGTTTTTCTGAGGTCTTGGCTGATTTCTTTTGATTTTCCCATGATGTCAAGCAAAGAGGCACTGAGTTTGAAGGTAGGCCTTGAAATACATCCACAGGTACACCTCCAATTGACTCAAATGATGTCAATTAGCCTATCAGAAGCTTCTAAAGCCATGACATCATTTTCTGGAATTTTCCAAGCTGTTTAAAGGCACAGTCAACTTAGTGTATGTAAACTTCTGACCCACTGGAATTGTGATACAGTGAATTATAAGTGAAATAATCTGTCTGTAAACAATTGTTGGAAAAATTACTTGTGTCATGCACAAAGTAGATGTCCTAACCGACTTGCCAAAACTATAGTTTGTTAACAAGAAATTTGTGGAGTGGTTGAAAAACGAATTTTAATGACTCCAACCTAAGTGTATGTAAACTTCCGACTTCAACTGTATCTCTGAATACCATCCAGTTTTGATTTCTATTTGCCATATATTTTTCAACTGTGCTATGATGTTTCACAAAAGTTCTGAACCTTTCTATTCTCATAGTTTCTACAGATTGTAAATTAAAGATAACATTTTTTTGCTAAGAGTATTATTATATTATTGATCGATTGACTATGACATTTTAAATCACCCAGCAGTGCTATTTGCAGAGTTAGCTCCAGGTAAATGTTGCAATTCTTCAGCCATTGCTGAACTTGCGAACCTGCTTACGTTTTCTAATTTATTTTAAACTTCAACAATGCCTCCTTGTAGTCTGTACTCTATTATTACAGGTGCGTATGCTGTGGTATTCTAGTAGGACAGTTTATGAAAGTGTAGTAGGCTAGTCTGAGTGTAGTTATTTGTGATGAAATATGTGATCTAACTGCCCCACAATCCAAAGTAATAAGGTTGATAGTGTAGTCTATCAAAGTAATCAGACCAATTATTTTACTAAATTTAACATTGACTATATTTAACTGCTTGGCTTAAATAAATCATTTTAAACTTCTACCACTACCAGAGAAATACTTATACTTAAAATACGTATTACTTTTCTATTATTTCTCTATTTTCTCTCTCTCTGCATTGTTGGGAACGACCCCAAATTAGCATTTCACTGTTATTTTACACTTGTTGTTTACGAGGCATTTGACTAATAATGTACTGACATGTAGTGGTGTGGCCATATAGCTACGTCACTAGAGAGGGACAGAAAAAGGTACATTTGAAGAAAAAAACTATGAAACCCATGGCAGGATTAAACAGATTTGTATACAGATAAGATGTACTTGGCTCCCATCCCATGTGGGGGTGGAGGGGAACGAGGCAGTAGATGAACAGGTTAAACAAGCAGTTAGTAGTGGGGATGTTGATGTTGAAGTTGAGCAAGGCAGAGGCAAAAAGACTGATATATACAGTGATGGTGCAGAGATGGCAGGAGCAGTGCAATAGAGATAATAAGGGAAGGCATTTATGTCAAGTACAGAGGAAAGTCGGGGAGGGGAGGACGGCAGGAAGGAACAGAAGAGAGGAGGCTATTTTTACAAGATTAAGGGTGGGACACAGCCTGTTGAATAAGACATTAAATGTGATAGGAAAGCATCCAACAGGAAAGTGTGATTATTGTCAGGAAACAGAGACCGTGGAGCATGTTGTCACGTTCGTTCATAGACGGGTCAGACCAAGGCGCAGCGTGATATGCATACATGTTTATTTTAACGAATAAACAACGACAAAACAATAAACCAACGAAACGTGACGTCCAACGGTAACACACAACAAACCTCTCACGGAACAAGATCCCACAACCCACTAGTGCCAATAGGCTGCCTAAGTATGGTCCCCAATCAGAGACAACGAGCGACAGCTGCCTCTGATTGGGAACCACACCGGCCAACATAGATCTAGACCTACTAGATCCTATAACATAGAACAAGCACAACAAGGAATATACACACCCTGACTCAACATATAAGCGTCCCCTGAGTCAGGGTGTGACAGTACCCCCCCCCCCCCCCCCCCCCCCCCCCCCCCCCCCAAAGGTGCGGACTCCGACCGCACAACATATACATAACAGGGTAGGGGCCGGGTGGGCATTCCGCCTCGGAGGCGGATCCGGCTCAGGGCGTGACGACCTCTCACTCTCCGCCTCCCTGTTGCGCCCCTGGTCTGGTCTAGACCTCGGCGCGTTGCTTCCCCTCTCCTTCCTCCCACGATACGCCAGGCCCAGTCTGGACCCTGGTGTGGGAGACCCCGAACCTGGAGAGGGGCTGACGTCATGGTCTGGACTGGAGCCGCTGACCGGAGCTGGACTAGGCACCGGTGGAGCGGACTGCTCTGGCTCCGGAGTGGAGCCGCTGACCGGAGCTGGATCAGGCACTGGTGGAGCGGACTGCTCTGGCTCCGGAGTGGAACAGCTGACCGGAACTGGATCATTGGTGCGAGGAGTAGGAACAGGCCGGGCCGGGCTGGCGACGCACACCACTGACTTGGTGCGATGAGCAGGAACAGGCCGGGCCGGGCTGGCGACGCGCATCACTGGCTTGGTGCGAGGGGCAGGAACGGGTCGGGCCGTACTGGGAACACGCACCACTGGCTTAGTGCGGGGAGCAGGAACGGGCCGGACCGGACTGGCGACACGCACCACTTGCTTGGTGCGAGGAGCAGGACTGGGTTCCTTTATTAACCCCCGCTCCTTCTGCTGCCTAACCAGCTCCTCTCGCCGTGCCTCTACCTTTTCCTTCTCCCTTTTAGCTTCCTGTAGCGCCTCCCTCTGACCGAATAACTCCTGCTCCCTCTGAACCAATAGCCCCCGTAACATGGTGGCCTCCTCTCCTAACCTGCAGAACCACCCTGTCGCGGCCTCCTGCTGCCTCGTCGTCCACACGGTGTGCCCCCCACAATTTTTTTTCTTGGGGTTGCCTCTCGGGTCTCCGTCGTCGGCACTCCTCTTTCCGTGAGGACTCCTCCGGGAGCCCCCACGAGTTAGGGAGCAGAAACTCGTTGTCGTCGTCATCCTCCGACTCCTCAGTATAATATTGTTCCCACTCCTCTTCCCATGGTCGTCGGGACCCAATCTGGAAACCAACCGGGTGCAGTGGTCGGGGCTCTTCTCTCTCGCTCCCCGACCACCCCTTTAGCCCCCCCAAAATGTTTTATTGCTACAGTGTGGGCAGTATCAGAGGGAAAGAGAGAGGATGAGATCTAGTATGAGGGATAAGGGGATACAGGAAATTAGTGTAAAGAGTATATTGAGTACAACGTCATTAGATATAGTCTCAAAAATTTTGTTATCTTTTTTAAGAGCAACCTGGCTGGCAGGTAGGATTTAGTTTCTCCCTGTCTGTGGCCTACACTCCAGTACAGTAGGTGGTGGTAATGCACCATGACGTTGGATGCCAACCGCCGATAAACCCCACTGAAGAAGAAGAAGAAGAAGGTTTCAAAATGTCCAGTTGGTGGCAATACAACTTTTGGATGTAGTCTGCCATAAAACCCACAGAAGAAGAAGAAGAAAAACGATGAGCTTGTAACAGTAAACATATTTTCAAATTCATACAAATACTACTGTTAATAATGCCATATGTTGTAGACTTTAAAGAGGATAAGTCAGCCTGCCTGCAAAATTGCTCACAACAATATAAGATAGTTAGCTAGTGTTGTTTCTAAAGGATAATGCTAATTATGCTGTTAGAACAAGGAGTCCGCTTACACTGCACTTTGATTATAAAGGTTTATTTATATCACAAGATTTCAGCGTAAGTTTACAGACATCTGCAGGCATCTGGAGAACAATGACCCAAAATAATATGTTGTTCTGTCCTCCTTTGTCTCAACCAAGTATTTATAATCTTTAACATGATATGGGTGGTTTTCCCTAGAGACCAATCCCATGACTCCACACAACAGACTTCCTCTGTTTTATGGGGTGCCCCTATAAAACTGCTCCCCAGATGCTTCCCTAAGCTGAATCAACATCCTCCAAGATACCATTTGCAAACGTTAGCAAAGTCATAAATTCCTTAGACACCACACTAGTCTCTCAAGTAGTTAACTAACAAGCAATGAAATCAGCCTAGCTCGATAACATGGTTTGCGAACTGTTGCATGTTTTTCTTGATTATTTGACTTCATACAACATTGTTGAAAGGTAACCTTATAATATTTAGAAGCTAGCTAGGTAACGTTTCAATTTAAACAATGTCGAGCATACATGAAAGTTTATATTTCAACCCAATGATGACCAATGTGGTCCATGCCAATGTGTTTGGCATTAATGATTGGGTGACTCCGTACAACATCTCCGTTCTGGCCTTACTGTACCAGATGATCACGTCAAAAACAATTGCTCTTCAGGAAAGAAGGCGCTTGAACAAACTCATCCTGCCTCTACAACAGGTCGGAATAGCTTATTGATCACCTTTACAACTTCAACTTTCCACTATCAATTGCTTGCTTTTCTTTATCAAAGGTTTTGTCTGTCTATCAGGGTCCAGACTTGATTCATGGCCAATACCTGAAGACTGTGGAAGAATTGTGCCTTCAAACAGCATATGCTGTGAGATGCCAGTATGGATGAGTCCTCGATTCAATTGCAGTGACCTAGGCCTATTTGTAACGTAAGAGGTCAGTGCTGCATGTTATCTGCTCTTTCATCACACACGTTTTATCCTTACAGGTTACATGAAATGGCTGATGGAGAGCTGAAGGACATGGAATGCTTCTTTGCCACCCTCCCCACTCCTTTCAGTGCTATTGATTCTGAGGCATTTAAGACCAGTGTTGTTGGCAAGTACACATAATTTGATCCAAGGGTCTAAGGGTTGGATCAAAGGAGCACTGTGTCTAGTTAGAGAGCACTGCTATATGAATTTACTTAGAATTTATGGGACAGATTGCTCACTGAATGCTAGTCTCTCATCATGACAGCGTCCTCTGTATGTTTTTAGGTCTGTTCATGAGACGCATGCTCCTGGCCTACAACAAGCAGTCCTTCAGCCAGGTGTACAAACTGTACAAAGCCCTGCAGCACTACTACCAGAGTCACTACACCCAGCCTGGTGATGGCCATGGCCAGGTGGGGCTGCCTGCCCTGGCTGCAGATGACTCTGACATGGACCTCACCAGCACAGAGGACACTGTAGGGGAGAGCATGGAGAAGGAGGAGCTGGACACAGCACCGCTGCATGAGTCGGAGCTAAGGTTTGTATAATTAAAAGTAGAGGTGGTAGTAGAGGGGAGTACTGTGTCATCAGTTTATCCTTTGCAGTTTGCACATTTCTCGTTTTCCCTATTTGAGACCTTTTTTGTTCTATAGAACTGAGGACGCCCCAAGCAAGCAGTGTACTTCCTTGCTAGACAGGCGTACCTTTTAAAGAATGATGAGAACAAAGCCATGAAGCCAGCTGCCCTGCAGGATGAGCTGAACAACCCTGACTTTGCTGAGGCGGTGAGGCTTTACTATCAATTAATATGGACTCACTCAAACAAACATGACAGGAAATTTGTCTGAAACTAGAAGTGAGCTTTTGGTTTTCTGTGAATCTGATTTGTATCTGAGGCACCTGTTTTGTGTCTCTGCAGCATTACCTGAGCTACCTGAACAGCTTGCGAGTCCAGGACATCTTCATCTCCACCCACAGTTTGTTACATTACTTTGCCTCATCCTGTCGGGGAGCGAGGGAAAGAGCAACGGGGATGAGGGCTACGGGAGAAGTCTCCGCTACGCTGCCCTCAACCTGGCAGCACTGCACTGTCGCTTTGGACACTAGTGAGTAGTGATGGGCATAGATATGGAAAGTCTGTAGTCTGTATCAATATCAGTTGCAATTTTATCAGCTGCAATATCATGGCAAAATGAAAATCAACTCCAACTCTTGACTCAGTCAACAGGCTGACCTGGCTCTACAGGAGGCTATCCGCATCGCCCAGGAGTCAAATTATCACGTGTGCCTGCAGCACTGCCTGGTAGGAGCTTTTACTTTTGTGTTATATGCCCAACATAAAGTATTTACACAAAATGTGTAGTCAAGGTTGGTCAGTGTCTATGTCACTTTCTCAGCACCAATACTGTACCTGTGTAATCATCCATGAATGTATTTGTATCTCTTTCAGAGTTGGCTTTACACAGCTCTGCGCTAACTGAGGACTCTGTGAAAATGGCTGCCCACTTCTGTCTACCGGTAAGAATAGCATGAGCCTGCAGATGAGACTGGAGCACTCCAGGTTTACTTACCGTTTTATCCAATAGATTCAGGAAACTGAGAGGCTATGGCAGTTCAGTAGATCCAGGTGTTTACTAACTCTCACATTACCACCCCCCTTGGTACCAGTGCACCAAATCTGGAACCAACAGGACCCTGAACAGGTTCTACCCCAAGCCATAAGACTGCTAAATAGCTAATCAAATGGCTACCCGGATTACCTGCATTGACCCTTTTTTGCACTAACTCTCTTGCACTGACTCTATGCACACACACACTGGACTCTACCCACACACTCACACATGCTTATACTGACACCCCAACACACAAAAACACACACACACTACATACGCCCACACACACAACACGCACACACATGCATACTGATGCCTCACACACACATTCACACTCACCACATACGCTGCTGCTACTTTCTATTGTCTATCCTGTTGCCTAGTCATTTTACCCCTAGCTATATCTACATAGCTACCTTAATTACTTTATACCCCAGCACATCGACTCGGTACTGTTACTCCCTGTATATAGCCATGCTATTTTAACTCGTTATTGTTATTAATTATTTACTGTGTATTAATTCCTCGTGTCACTATTTTTTTGTGTGTAAAAATATATATACGGTACCAGTCAAAAGTTTGGACACACCTACTCATTCAAGGGTTTTTCTTTATTTTTACTATTTTCTACATTATAGAATAATAGTGAACACATCAAAACTATGAAATAACATATATGAAATCATGTAGTAACCAAAAAAGTGTTAAACAAATCTAAATATATTTTAGATTTTAGATTCTTCAAATAGCCGCCCTTTGCACACTCTTGGCATTCTCTCAACCAGTTTCACCTGGAATGCTTTTCCAACAGTCTTGAAGGAGTTCCCACATATGTGGAGCACTTGTTGGCTGCTTTTCCTTCACTCTTCAGTCCGACTCATCCCAAACCATCTCAATTGGGTGGAGGTCGAGGGATTGTGGAGGCCAGGTCATCTGATGCAGCACTCCATCACTCTCCTTCTTGGTCAAATAGCCCTTACACAGCCTGGAGGTGTGTTGGGTCATTATCCTGTTGAAAAACAAATGATAGTCCCGCTAAGCCCAAACCAGATGGGATGGCGTATCGCTGCAGAATCCTGTGGTAGCCATGGTTAAGTGTGCCTTGAATTCTAAATAAATCACAGACAGTGTCACCAGTAAATCACCCCCACACCATAACACCTCCTCCATGCTTTACGGTGGGAAATACACATGCGGAGATCATCTGTTCACCCACACAGCGACTCACAAAGACACGGCGGTTGGAACCAAAAATCTCCAATTTGGACTCCAGACCAAAAGACAAATTTCCACAGGTCTAATGTCCATTGCTCATATTTCTTGGCCCAAGCAAGTCTCTTCTTATTGGTGTCCTTTAGTATTGGTTTCTTTGCAGCAATTCGACCATGAAGGCCTGATTCACACAGTCTCCTCTGAACAGTTGATGTTGAGATGTGTCTGTGACTTGAACTCTGTGAAGCATTTATTTGGGCTGCCATTTCTGAGGCTGGTAACTCTAATGAACTTATCCTCTGCAGCAGAGGTATCTCTGGGTCTTCCATTCCTGTGGCGGTCCTCATGAGAGCCAGTTTCATCATAGCGATTGATGGTTTTTGCGACTGCACTTGAAGAAACTTTATAGGTTCTTGAAATGTTCCGGATTGACTGACCTTCATGTCTTAAAGTAATGATGGACTGTCGTTTCTCTTTGCTTATTTGAGCTGTTCTTGCCATAATATGGACTTGGTCTTTTACCAAATAGGGCTATCTTCTGTATACCCCCTCTACCTTGTCACAACACAAGTGATTGGCTCAAATGCATTAAGGAGGAAAGAAATTCCACAAATTAACTTTTTAAGAAGCCACACCTGTTAATTGAAATGCATTCCAGGTGACTACCTCATGAAGCTGGTTGAGAGAATGCCAAGAGTGTGCAAAGCTGTCATCAAGGCAAAGGGTGGCTATTTGAAAAATCTCAAATATATTTTGATTTGTTAAACACTTTTTTTGGTTACTACATGATTCCATATGTGTTATTTCATGGTTTTGATGTCTTCATTATTATTCTACAATGTAAAAATAAAGAAAAACCCTTGAATGAGTAGGTGTGTCCAAACTTTTGACTGGTAGTGTATGTAACTCTGCATTGTTGGAAAAGGACCCGTAAGTAAGTATTTCACTGTTAGTCTACACCTGTTGTTTACGAAGCATGTGACAAATAAAATTAGATTTCAGAGGGGCTTTCCTTTCATTTTATTTTCTCTCTTCAGTACCTGGCATCTCTGGGCATTCAGTCCCTGGTCCAGCAGGGGTCAATTCAGGGCAAGACAGCTCATGAGCTCATGGACGCGCTGAAGGACACAGACATCCTGCACTGGAGGCACAGCCTGTCAGAGTTCATAGACATCAGCCTGGCTCAGACTACATCCATATGGAGGATGTATGGCAAGAAGTGGGTCTCCTTCACTTATTCTGATATTACCTGACATAAGGAATCCACACTAAGCATAAACAATTCTAACCACAATGAGTTTAATATAAAATAATAAAACCTGGTTGTCAGTCACATATTTGGCAGAAATGTGAACCGCAGTTCACAGACAGTGAATGTCCATTCTTGATGTCAAGTCTTGACTAATTTAATTAATCCAACACAGATTCACTGACTGCGTGTCTGTAACATCCCTGTTCTGTCATGTCCTGTTAAACATATGCATTCCTCCAGCACCATGGCTCAGTGTCACGGTTTCGGCCGAGGCTGCTCCTCCTCCTGGTTCGGGCAGGCTTCGGCGGTCGTCGTCCCCGGAGTACTAGCTGCCACCGATCTATGTTTCATGTTCGTTTGGTTTTGTCTTTATGTTGTACACCTGTGTCTTGTTAGTCCTCGTTAGTGTCCTATTTAGTTCTCGTTGGTTGGGTTTGTCTTTGTGTGTGATTGCTCTTCTGTTTTCGTGTTGGAGCTACGTACTTCCCTCCAGTGTTTTGGAGAGGTTTTTCGCACATGTTAGTGCGCCGTTTGTTTGACGCCTGTGTGCGCCGTGATTTCGCCTTCGGGCTTATTGTGCTTATTTTCTACGTGAATATTGCACTAAAGTCTTTTGGACTGAGCTTCTGCGTCCTGCGCTTGATTCATGCACCACACCCACCTTCAGCACCCCTTGACACTCAGCAGCAGGCCTAGCTCCTTCTGAACATGAACAGCCTGGAGTAGGTCAACTTTTGGGTCCAGCAGAACAACACAGAGGCCTTTGCTGTGGCCCTCTGCCACCTGGTTGTGCTGCATGCTGAACAGATACTGTAGTTACTAGTTAGTACACCTCTTCCCACTATCTCTGTCTCCACCCCTATCTGTCTTCTGTCCCACTGTCACATCTCCCTCAGGGCTGTTTCACAAGCATTGATGTGGTCCAGATTACATCTCAAATAAAATAAAATAAAATAAAATAAAATTTTATTGGTCACATGCGCCGAATACAACAAGTGCAGACATTACAGTGAAATGCTTACTTACAGCCCTTAACCAACAGTGCATTTATTTTTAACAAAAAAAGTAAAAAATAAAACAACAACAAAAAAAGTGTTGAGAAAAAAAAGAGCAGAAGTAAAATAAAATAACAGTAGGGAGGCTATATATACAGGGGGGTACCGTTGCAGAGTCAATGTGCGGGGGCACCGGCTAGTTGAGGTAATATGTACATGTGGGTAGAGTTAAAGGGACTATGCATAAATCATTAACAGAGTAGCAGCAGCGTAAAAAGGATGGGGTGGGGGGGCAGTGCAAATAGTCCGGGTAGCCATGATTAGCTGTTCAGGAGTCTTATGGCTTGGGGGTAGAAGCTGTTGAGAAGTCTTTTGGACCTAGACTTGGCACTCCGGTACCGCTTGCCGTGCGGTAGCAGAGAGAACAGTCTATGACTAGGGTGGCTGGAGTCTTTGACAATTTTGAGGGCCTTCCTCTGACACCGCCTGGTACAGAGGTCCTGGATGGCAGGAAGCTTGGCCCCAGAGATGTACTGGGCCGTACGCACTACCCTCTGTAGTGCCTTGCGGTCCGAGGCCAAGCAGTTGCCATACCAGGCGGTGATGCAACCAGTCAGGATGCTCTCGATGGTGCAGCTGTAGAATTTTTTGAGGATCTGAGGACCCATGCCAAATCTTTTCAGTCTCCTGAGGGGGAATAGGCTTTGTCGTGCCCTCTTCACGACTGTCTTGGTGTGTTTGGACCATGATAGTTCGTTGGTGATGTGGACACCAAGGAACTTGAAGCTCTCAACCTGTTCCACTACAGCCCCGTCGATGAGAATGGGGGCGTGCTCAGTCCTCTTTTTTTTCCTCAGGAGATGTTCACTGGTACTGACTGTGAGTGAGACTTGGTTTAGTTACATGTTCCTCCAGGGCTTGTATGGGGCTGTGTCTGAGGTCCTGAAACATCTGAAGGAGCAGTTTCCCCCTCACACCCAACATGCCAAGGTGAGGCAATCTGAACTCCTACTTATCTCTATCCATCAACTTTAGACTTGACCTCGATCACCATGTTTGGCACTTTTCTATTGATATAGTATACAGAAACACCATTGCCTCCTTATAGTAGGCAATGGCACTGACATGGCTGGTATGAAGTGGACTTTAGTGAATTCTAAAGGTTTGTGTCATCTATCACCCAGCTGTGGATGCTATGTGACCTCAAGATCCAGTTTGACACAGCTATGAAGGATGGGAAATACCACTTGGCAGAACCCATGTCACAGCCATTGCTGCCTTGAACAAAACAGAGAGTCTTTATAGCTAAGGAAGTGTCTTGACTCAGAACACAGAACACCTTTACACAGTCTTCCAGTGTTCTAGTTCAAGGGTTCCCAAACTTTTTCACTCGGGGCCTCCCTTCCAGCATTGGTTAACACCTACCAACAAAACACCAAATGATGGAATTTCTCGTCAAAGAATGGTGTCGCATCCCTTCAATAGAGTTCCAGACACTTGTAGAATCTATGCCAAGGTGCATTGAAGCTGTTCTGGCGGCTCGTGGTGGCCCAACGCCCTATTAAGACACTTTATGTTGGTGTTTCCTTTATTTTGGCAGTTACCTGTGTATGTGTCATGTTAACAGGAAAGCTCAAGTGCTGAAGGCGCTGAACTGGACCACTGAAGTGTACAATATCCTGCAGAGGCTGCAGCTGTACAGTGAGAAGACCAAGTACACAGAGATGATCATCAGGTAAGCCAGGACACTAAATGAAAACACCAGACTTCATCTGTCGATGGAGTCCTAGAATGTTGTGTGAATATGTATTTATCAAATTGTCAAAGCTATTTGTTTGGGTAAGGGTTGTGTGGCTGTGTTTATATTTGTGTGTATGCCTTGTGCAGGGTGATGCTGGCCACTGCAGAGTTGCATTGAGAGTCGTCAGGTGTTGCCACAGCCCTTGCTCTCCTGCTGCAGGCTCTGGCCAGACAGCGCCACCTACAGGCCTTGGCCTCTGAGACCATCCTGCACCTGGCCTTCACTCAGGTCAACACAACACACGCCTGTTATGGCCAACACCATTGTTTGCTCGGTATACACACATATTCTCAGATATACAAATCTTCAATCCCTTGACCTTAGACGGAACTGCATACTGTATGCAAAGCAAACTCCCACATGTAGGCAAAACAAGGAAATTCATACTGGGTTATATTTAAAAACTCCATCAATAGTTTGTGTTGTTTTCTGTCACCCTGTCCAGTTGATGCTGGGAGTGCTGGAGCAAATCAAATCAAATCAAATTGTATTTGTCACATGCGCCGAATACAACAGGGATGTAGCTCAGTTGGTAGAGCATGGCATTTGCAACGCCAGGGTTGTGGGTTCGATTCCAGTATGAAAATAAATAAAAATGTATGCACTCACTAACTGTAAGTCGCTCTGGATAAGAGCGTCTGCTAAATGACTAAAATGTAAAAATGTAATGTAAATGTGTAGACCTTACAGTGAAATGCTTACTTACAAGCCCTTAACCAACAATGCAGTTTTAAGAAAGAATACCAAAAAACATCTCAAAAAATACTATATAAAATAATACTAAATAAAAGTAACAAATAATTAAAGAACAGCAGTAAAAATAACAATAGCGAGGCTATATACAGGGGGTACCGGTACCGAGTCAATGTGCGGGGGCACCGGTTAGTCGAGGTAATTGGGGTTATATGTACATGTAGGTAGAGTTATTAAAGTGACTATGCATAGATAATAAACAGAGAGTAGCAGCAGTGTAAAAGAGGGGTGGGGGGGCAATGCAAATATTCTGGGTAGCCATTTGTCCTTCATGAGTCTATTCTGGCCAACGGAGCAGTCATGGATAAGGGCAGAGCTCTGCTGCTGGCAGCCTGCTGGCAGATGGCCATGGCTGGGTCCCGGCCCAAAGGTCAGAGGCATGCAGGTAACACACATCCCCAACACCAAAACTTCATATCACTATCTCAAAGAAATGTACACGTTTGTTGGTGGTTATGATAACTTTACCATTTGAGTACACATAGGAGTCTTTCAGCATCATATTTTTCTTTTGAGTCACATAAGCAGTACCAGCAATGAGAATTACACTACAATTTTGAACATTTACACAACCCCAACGTCTGATTCCCTGTTGTCTCCCTCCAGGTCTGGGCCAGGCTGTGCAGACGCTGGGTGAGGCTGTAGCCTACTTCTCCATGCTGGACTGTAAGGAGCGTCTCCGTGACGTCCACTACCTGCAGGCCCGACTGCACCACACCCTGGGCCAAACCCCCCAACGCAACAAATGTGCCATGCTGTTCTGCCTCCTGGACCAGGAGCTGCAGGAGCCGGGGGCAGCCGTTGCCATGCGTCTCTAAACAGTCTTAACCACCTGAACACAGACAGGTACATATACTAATCTTTGTCATGGACTTTGCATTTTATGCTATCTTTTGTTTCAAATTGCTGCATTACTTGTGTGTGCAAACGTGTATCATCTCTCTACAATATAAAGATCTGACATCAAGTCTCTAATCTTATCTCCCAAGTTTGTTGTCCTTTTTTTTGATTGGACACACCTAGTAAGCAATACTATACACATTAAAAAGTGAAATACAGTAACTATGTTATCATACAAATACAACTCCAAGTTAGAAGTATCAGAACACTTAGAAAGGTAGTTCTAACCTTAAATATTACTTGGAAAAGTGTCAAAAATAAGAAAGCAATATATTCCATAGTACATTAGAAACCAGCAAAACATGAACAACAACAGTCTAAACGTAGCTGAGGGTAATTGAGCACAATGTCCACTAGATGACAGCAAATGGACCTATCACAACCCTACAGGAAGGGTGAGAAATCCATATCTTCATTTAAACCAGGGTATTTAGTGGTCTGTAGTTTGTAAATCCAAAAACTTTCCCTTTGGTTTAACTGTTTAAGACGGTCCCATTTTCTAATAGAGGCTGGAATATGCTACGGGTATTGATCATATTGCAGCCTCTATTAGAAAAGGGGACCATCTCACATAGTATTTGAATTTCAGCATAGGCTACATACCAGTAGACAACAAGGAGTTTAACCTTAATCAGGAAAGGAAATCTCTGGACCTTTAGAGGTTGCCGTTGCCTCTGTTGTAGGATGTCTATAGAATAGATATGGACTTGTGTTCAGTCATTTATCATCAACATATTTTTCAAAGTCCTTGTGGTGCGATCCCATCAGAGGTCAAGACAAAGATGTCTAGTAGCATAGAGGATTTTTTTGTCTACGCTTAGAGAATGAGGAAGGCTTACCTGAGCTGTCAGGAAGAGGCAGTTTTACCCACCACGATATGATGAATGACGGTAATATCAGAGCCGGGCAGAAGATGAATACGTTTTAGAGAGCAAGGTGATTTTTCTTCAGTTGGAGCATGCCAATGAACGATGGAATTTCAACCATTTTAGTGAAGGAAAATATTTTGTGATTTTAATGTGATAGTCCTGACATTAATTGAAATGAGATCTCTGTGTGTGTGCCATAACGTGACACATTCTGTGGGAAACTGAGCTGAGCAATGACACTGCACATTGTTTTGGTTAGTCTGATGTAGATTTATGCAACCTGTAAGAGTGGTCCTTTTTCTATGTGCCAGTCATGAGTGCCACTATGTTCACATTATCTCTTCATAAGAAAATGTGGATGTTTTCAATATCCTTAACTGCCCTTTGGTTTGTATACAGAAGAAGATTAGTCTAATAGCATTTAAAACATTACGTAACGTTGGTTTGCAAACACTGAAGTCTTATTACTGAAAGGAAGCAGTGACATGTTGAAACAGCCCTGAGCCTTGAAATATTACATTCTGGGTCTTTAATCATTTCAGAGGTACAAAGTAGAACCAATTTAGGTAAAAGGCAATCGACTATTTAACATTTGAGTGGGTTCGTTTTTGATTGTTCTTCATATCCCTCTCGCAAGAAAAATGCATTGTCATCATTACTTGAACCTTTTTGGTTGATTTCAACAGTTTACGTTAGACAGGAAGAACGTATTTATGTTCAATTTCCCAATCACTCTTACCATTAGCATGTAGGTTTAGTCCAGGTGTTGAAAGTTCTACAATTGAAGTTTTTTGTATGTTTCTGAATGTTTGCACAAGAAGCGCTCTGTAAGGCCCTGTGTGGGGTCTGAAAGAAACTGGGCGTGTTTAGCTACCTCACTCTATAAACACATAGATCATGGGCCTCATGGAACAGTAAACGGGACAGAGACTGTCTGTGTAAATACACACAGTAAATTGACGCACGCTGCATAATTCACTCTGCTCTTGTGTGTGCGCGTGTTTATATCTCTGGAGAGTCTGACAACGGTGAGCTGCAGCCGTGGGATGGTCTACTGTGTCTTTCCATCATACGACTCTAGATGGGCTATGTGATCAGTGATGCTAAATGCCCTCTGCACCATTAGCCTACCCTGTATGTGAGCGCTGAGCCTCAACACTGACACTATACTCTGTTCAGGCCTGTGTCGGGGGCATGGGATATGTTCTATTAGCACAGTTAAGATGAGCTGTGTCAAAGGATTGAAAAACACTTGCTTTACTATTTATGTATGTAATGTACAGCTTCATTAGCCATCATTTCCCAGCTGCCCACAGGCCGAATGCTGTCTGAATAAATATGAATAATTTCACTCTCACAAGGAAGCAGAGAGTGGAGTATACACAGATAGTGTCTCAGGCCACATTCAATGGGGCCAACTGGGTTGTAGCCAGACAACAGGATACTACCGTAGATGGACTTATATGTTTAGTAAGTTGTGCACAGTAGAGTTGACTTACTCGGCAGCTATACACTGAGTATACCAAACATTAGGAACACCTTCCTAATATTGAATTGCACCTCCCTCTTTTGCTCTCAGAACAGCCTCAATTTGTCAGGGCATGGATTCTACAAGGTGTCAAGTGTTCCACAGGGATGCTGGCCATGTCGACTCCAATGCTTCCCACAGTTGTGTCAAGTTGGCTGGATGTCCTTTGAGTGGTGGAACATTCTTGATACACACGGGAAACTGTTGAGCGTGAAAAACTCAGCAGCATTGCAGTTCTTGACACAAACCGGTGCACCTGGCACATACTACCATACCCCATTCAAAGGCACGTCAATCTGTTGTCTTGCCCATTCACCCTCTGAATGGCACACATCCTTCTTTAATCTGTCTCCTCCCCTTCATCTACACTGATTTTAACAAGTGACATCAATAAGGGATCATAGCTTTCAACTGGTCAGTCAATGTCAAGGAAAGAGCAGGTGTTCTTAATGTTTTGTATATTCAGTGTATATCATTCTCATGAAGATTATCACGTTACATTTAAGTCATTTAGCAGACGCTCTTATCCAGAGCGACTTACAGTTAGTGAGTGCATACATTATTTTATTTTTCATACTGGCCCCCTGTGGGAATTGAACCCACAACCCTGGCGTTGCAAACGCCATGCTCTACCAACTGAGCTACATCCCTGCCGGTCATTCCCTCCCCTACCCTGGATGACGCAGGGCCAATTATGCGCCGCCCCATGGGTCTCCCGGTCACGGCCGGCTACGACAGAGCCTGGATTCGAACCAGGATCTCTAGTGGCACAGCTATCACTGCATCGCAGTGCCTTAGACCACTGCGCCACTCGGGAGGCCAGCTATCACATCTATGTAGGTAAATGTTTTACACTTTATTCAACTGCCAAGTCACCAACTCTGCCAGCTATAGTCCTACTGGTGAGGGCACTTTGATAGAGAGGAAGTATTTAGGCTGAGTCCTATCTGTGTGATTTATTGGCTATTTAGCTTCCTATACATCACTGGTCTATGGAAGCACAGGCAGTTCAATGGCTTCAGTGATTAATCCATTTGGAGGCTTTTGTAAAAGCCACAGCTGGCGCCAAATGCCACGTCTTGCTAAGATTTGTCAGAAGGAAGCTGCTTTGTATTTTGTTCTTCAGACTGTTTAAGGAAGCTGAGGCAAACTTTTTGGTATGAAATGGTACTTCAGTCAGTTGGTTAGACATCATGTAGCTGTTATTAACATAGTGTACTGTAAAACATTCTGCTAAAACCTTGCATCAATAATTTGATTTCATACTACAGTAACATTAGTTCAGCAGTTCTTTGGTTACAGTTATCGATGCAGAGAAAGAGGTCCCTAAGAATATGGGGAACAGGTGGAGTAAAGTAAAATATGTATTTGTTTAAAATGTTTAATAACAAGCATGGCAACAAGCATGGCATGAGAACAATGCATGTTTAAAAAAATATATCTGCAAATGTATTTAAAAAAATACACTACATTCACTGTACCGCTATGGTCTTACTCGATATTAAACATTAACAATTTGTCTTTCTTAACAATCTGCATCACAAAAAATATAAAAATAACATTTGAATAGGTAAATGGCAGCCATATTTGAGCCCTTATTAACAGTAGGCCCCCATGGGCAATGGTCAGAGTTGAGATGAAATCAGTCAAACAGAAATCACAGTTTTCAGTTACAGATCAGAATTCTCATGAAAATAAAAATGTAGCTACCTGTGACCAACATCTTCATATGGTAGACCTGTAGCCTGGTTGCCAGATTTGTTTGTGCTTTAGCCAACCCATAAAGCAGAAACAGATCTGACAACCTGACCTGTTAAGACCTGAGGTGGAAGTCAAGGAGTTTTCAGTGACCAACAGTGGTATTTTACATGGTTAAAACATTTTTTTTTTTTTGTCATTTAGCAGACGCTCTTATCCAGAGCGACTTACAGGAGCAATTAGGGTTAAGTGCCTTGCTCAAGGGCACCTTTGACAGATTTTTCACCTAGTCGGCTCTGGGATTAGAACCAGCGACCTTTCGGTTACTGGCACAACACTCTTAACCACTAAGCTACCTGCCGCCACATACGGTCCCATTTTTCCTTGATGGAGAGACAAAACAGTCATTTCTCTATATTTGATTTGTTCAATGGACAGAGACAAACTACTTTGACAACCTTTAAATTGGTGTTCACATTATCCCTAAAACATTACCTTTCTTAAATATCAGATAAATGGCTATTTTTCTGTCAAACAGAAAGATTGCTCATCATCACAGAGTAATTTGACTAATATGTTGGCTAATAATTCATAAGTAAACTATTTCAGAATGTACATCAGATGATCCATGGCGTCCATTTCAGTTCTGGCCGATGGTATTTACATCCAGCAGGAAACGACAGTTACAGTCCAGCGTTCTGCTACCCCACTGCATTGCATAAATAAACATCTTTCTTCAGGATAATTGATAATGATCTCTTGATACAGCAAGGATTAAAAAATGCCACTCAGAGTTGCAATCGCACTTTCAAAACACAAAAATAAATAATGCTGAAATAAAAGCAGAAATGCTGCCGATTATTTGGTGTGAAGGGAGGAGGTATTGATGTGGAGTAAAGTCATTTTCCATGTCTTGAAATGAATTCCGGCTGAAGAAAGAGTGGCTGTGCCTCCTTGAGGAGCCATTGTTCGCGTCTCATTGCAGATACATGGCCTCTCTACGGCCTCTTTATGGCCCTGCCTCTTTATGGAGACTCAGTAGCCCGCTGGATAGCCCCCTTTTCTGGGGTCGGACTCGGCACAGAGCCGCTCACCCTGTCGCACCACCACCTGAACCACTGATCCAGGAGTCATCAGCAGCTCTGTTACGTGGTTCTTCTGTGCCAGACCATCTAATACACTCTATTACACACACACACACACACACACACACACACACACACACACACACACACACACACACACAGATTAAATGTCAGAGTTACCCAAAAGTCTTTTCAAATCAATGAATTTGTATTTTTTTCATAGAATAATATTCTATGCAATATTGTTCAAAATTACCCACCTTTTCAAAGCCATCCTCCACTACAGTCATATTTGGGTTAAGTTGATTGTGAATTCGAGGTTGTGTTACAGCTTTTTTGAGGTCGTAGTCAAAGAACAAGGAATTCAGAATCACCTATGTAAATCAGAAAAGGAAGCTACTTGTACTCCGATTCATCACAATATCACAATGTAAGGATAGATGGCCGTCATGTGTAGGCTTTATCTGTTTTAGAGTATCAATTCATTTGTATGGATCAAGACTTACTAGGGCAGTCGCTGTGGTGATCTTTGTTCCACCAGAGGCTCCCACCACCATTTTCACTCTATTGTCTTTGTCCAAGATAATAGTTGGGCACATAGAAGAGAGAGGCCTTTTACCTAAAACAGAGAGAGAGCTAAATATTCAGACAAAGTTATTCTCAGAAAACATACCAGCCAAGGCTCAAACTGGGGCCATGCGTACATTGAGAACTTTCAGTAGCTTACCAGCAATAAGGATATTTATTTCAGTTCCTATTCTATCTCACCAGGCTGGATGAAGTTGTTAGGAGATGGAGGGATTCCAAAGCCATTGGTGATGTGTGGAGAGCTGAAGTCATCCATCTCATCATTGAAAATGATGCCAGTTGATCGGGACATGACTTTCGAGCCAAAACTGAAGATGGGAAATGATAGGAGTTAAGTAACCTATGCATGTTATTTTTGGGGTTAAATGAAAACAGAAACTTCTCAGTAAGACCATCTGCAAGCAAAGGGTGTTTAGAGTGCATGTATACTATATTAATGATCTGTCTCTGGATAGCTATAATCTACGCTGTAGCATTATGTATTCATCAGTCCTATTGTCTCAGGAGGTCTTGCCTTGTAGGACTCTTACTATAGATTGATTGTGCTGGTGGCAGCCACAGCACTTCCATCCTCAGCTATGACGGACAGGTGTGATGTCCCATGATTGTCGGGGACAAAATAATCTGGCTCATAGTAGCTGTCGGGGTGAGTGGTGTCATCTGTGATCTTGCTCCTGATCCCGTTAGCAAAGTAGTCTGAGGTCATGTTGTGGATGAGCTGGAGAGCAGATGAAATCATCAGTAAACAAATAGGAATTAAATAGGTGAACAGCAGTCAACAGCATGGTATTATAGAGCCTATTCAGTAAACAACTACAAACCAACTTTATTTCAAATTCAAATATATATTTGTGAGTGAAACTCTGTGTATTTGAAAGCTGGGAATCAGGGTTCTCACATCGGTGATATTGAGATAGCGTGGGTCCCCTAGTCTGCTTCTCTTGGCATAAGCAAACCGGAAAGCCTCCACGATGCGGTGGAACGTCAGAGTCTTTTTCTCGGCGGTAGAGACACTTGTGCCAGTGAAGTTATACCCTGAAGAAAAAAACACGAAAAATATTGATATATTTCAGACTAAAAAAGAACTATTTATTAATTTGTCAGAGATACAGTAGTTTTAATGTAAATCGATATTTCCATCACTGGGATATTTCTGTCCGATTCCGTCCATGTTTTTGCACAAACACTGGTAGCTATGGTGGATGTCAAGATGTAAGGGACTAGTGCTGATAAATTAATTCCCAGTGAAAATAATTCCAGAGTTTACACAAATCTCTCTTAGATGAGAATCTGGGAGGCCTTGTGAGTTTACAGCCAATTAGTGGTGGATAATGATGCCCCTCTGTGTCTAATGCATGGCTAATGATTTTCTCCATGAGCACACTCTCTGTATCTGGGGCATCATTTATAACTGTTGCGTAAATTTTACACTAAATATCTGCATGCGCAATTTCTGAAAAGACTGCGCACGTACAAAAATATAGAGATTTATAAACTTGGCGGCGGGCGCACACCATATGTTTTCCTTTATAAATTAGACCTGTTGTAAAACTGCGAGCGGGAACAAGCATTATAACTCCACCTGAATAGCGCCCATTATTAACCTTTTATGGTGACAATAACGCCCTTATTTGCTGTATACTTTGGAAGTATTGAAATTAGGCCAAGACAGTTATCTAAAGGAATTATCAATGGCGAACTTGATCAAATATCTTTATAGGTGTTGGCAGAATGTAGTTTTTTTGCAATGACATTTGCTGTATCTGACCGTTTCTGAAACACAAAGAATGATTGCAAATTGTTGTGGACATGTAAACAAACGTTTGAATTCAATAATGTTTCGCATTTACTTTCTACCGAACCTAAATGTGTTGCACTGCCCGAGGAATTCTGAAACATGGTCTACTCTGAAAAAAATTACAACTACAGTAGGGCCTAGGCCTACTTACAGTGGTAGCCTACACACTTCAATGCAAAATATCAACTGTCTGTTCACCTGTTTAAATTCTATTGTATGTCATAAACCGTGGTCTCTTTCAGATGCATAGAGCAAAAACGTCTAATAGGCCCAATTAAATTAGAGATGTGCATGGTAATTTGTTGTATCGCTACTTTGGGAATATGAACTCACCATGGCCAGAAAAGGTGCAATGGTTATGATATGCAGTACCAGTCAAAAGTTTGGACACACCTACTCATACCAGGGTTTTTCTTTATTTTTACTATTTTCTACATTGTAGGATAATAGTGAAGACATCAAATAACATATATGGAATCATGTAGTAACCAAAAAAGTGTTAAACAAATCAAAATATATTTTATATTTCAGATTCTTCAAAGTAGCCACCCTTTGCCTTGATGACAGCTTTGCACACTCTTGGCATTCTCTCAACCAGCTTCATGAGGTAGTCACCTGGAATGCATTTCAATTAACAGGTGTGCCTTGCTAAAAGTTAATTTGTGGAATTTCTTTCCTCCTTAATGCGTTTTTGCCAATCAGTTGTGTTGTGACAAGGTAGGGGTGGTATACAGAAGATACAGTGGGGAAAAAAAGTATTTAGTCAGCCACCAATTGTGCAAGTTCTCCCACTTAAAAAGATGAGAGAAGCCTGTAATTTTCATCATAGGTACACGTCAACTATGACAGACAAATTGAGAAAAAGAAATCCAGAAAATCACATTGTAGGATTTTTAATGAATTTATTTGCAAATTATGGTGGAAAATAAGTATTTGGTCACATACAAACAAGCAAGATTTCTGGCTCTCACAGACCTGTAACTTCTTCTTTAAGAGGCTCCTATGTCCTCCACTTGTTACCTGTATTAATGGCACCTGTTTGAACTTGTTATCAGTATAAAAGACACCTGTCCACAACCTCAAACAGTCACACTCCAAACTCCACTATGGCCAAGACCAAAGAGCTGTCAAAGGACACCAGAAACAAAATTGTAGACCTGCACCAGGCTGGGAAGACTGAATCTGCAATAGGTAAGCAGCTTGGTTTGAAGAAATCAACTGTGGGAGCAATTATTAGGAAATGGAAGACATACAAGACCACTGATAATCTCCCTCGATCTGGGGCTCCACGCAAGATCTCACCCCGTGGGGTCAAAATGATCACAAGAACGGTGAGCAAAAATCCCAGAACCACACGGGGGGACCTAGTGAATGACCTGCAGAGAGCTGGGACCAAAGTAACAAAGCCTACCATCAGTAACACACTATGCCGCCAGGGACTCAAATCCTGCAGTGCCAGACGTGCCCCCCTGCTTAAGCCAGTACATGTCCAGGCCCGTCTGAAGTTTGCTAGAGTGCATTTGGATGATCCAGAAGAGGATTGGGAGAATGTCATATGGTCAGATGAAACCAAAATAGAACTTTTTGGTAAAAACTCAACTCGTCGTGTTTGGAGGACAAAGAATGCTGAGTTGCATCCAAAGAACACCATACCTACTGTGAAGCATGGGGGTGGAAACATCATGCTTTGGGGCTGTTTTTCTGCAAAGGGACCAGGACGACTGATCCGTGTAAAGGAAAGAAATGAATGGGGCCATGTATCGTGAGATTTTGAGTGAAAACCTCCTTCCATCAGCAAGGGCATTGAAGATGAAACGTGGCTGGGTCTTTCAGCATGACAATGATCCCAAACACACCGCCCGGGCAACGAAGGAGTGGCTTCGTAAGAAGCATTTCAAGGTCCTGGAGTGGCCTAGCCAGTCTCCAGATCTCAACCCCATAGAAAATCTTTGGAGGGAGTTGAAAGTCCGTGTTGCCCAGCGACAGCCCCAAAACATCACTGCTCTAGAGGAGATCTGCATGGAGGAATGGGCCAAAATACCAGCAACAGTGTGTGAAAACCTTGTGAAGACTTACAGAAAACGTTTGACCTGTGTCATTGCCAACAAAGGGTATATAACAAAGTATTGAGAAACTTTTGTTATTGACCAAATACTTATTTTCCACCATAATTTGCAAATAAATTCATTAAAAATCCTACAGTGTGATTTTCTGGAATTTTTTTCTGATTTTGTCTGTCATAGTTGACGTGTACCTATGATGAAAATTACAGGCCTCTCTCATCTTTTTAAGTGGGAGAACTTGCACAATTGGTGGCTGACTAAATACTTTTTTTCCCCACTGTATCCCTATTTGGTAAAAGAACAAGTCCATATTATGGCAAGAACAGCTCAAATAAGCAAAGAGAAACGACAGTCCATCATTACTTTAAGACATGAAAGTCAGTCAATCTGGAACATTTCAAGAATTTTTAAAGTTTCTTCAAGTGCAGTCGCAGAAACCATCAAGCGCTATGATGAAACTGGCTCTCATGAGGACCGCCACAGGAAAGGAAGACCCAGAGTTACCTCTGCTGCAGAGGATAAGTTCATTAGAGTTACTAGCCTCAGAAATTGCAGCCCAAATAAATGCTTCACAGAGTTCAAGTAACAAACACATCTCAACATCAACTGTTCAGAGGAGACTGTGTGAATCAGGCCTTCATGGTCGAATTGCTGCAAAGAAACCACTACTAAAGGACACCAATAAGAAGAGACTTGCTTGGGCAAAGAAACACGAGCAATGGACATTAGACCGGTGGAAATGTGTCCTTTGGTCTGGAGTCCAAATTGGAGATGTTTGGTTCCAACCGGCTTGTTTTGTGAGACGAGGTGTGGGTGAACGGATTATCTCCGCATGTGTATTTCCCACCGTAAAGCATGGAGGAGGAGGTGTTATGGTGTGGGGGTGCTTTGCTGGTGACACTGTCTGTGATTTATTTAGAATTCAAAGCACACTTAACCAGCATGGCTACCACAGCATTCTGCAGCAATACGCCATCCCATCTGGTTTGGGCTTAGTGGGGCTATCATTTGTTTTCTTAACAGGACAATGACCCAACACACCTCCAGGCTGTGTAAGGGCTATTTGACCAAGAAGGAGAGTGATGGAGTGCTGCATCAGATGACCTGGCCTCCACAATCACTCGACCTCAACCCAATTGAGATGGTTTGGGATTAGTTGGAATGCAGAGTGAAGGAAAAGCAGCCAACAAGTGCTCAGCATATATGGGAACTCCTTCAAGACTGTTCGAAAAGCATTCCAGGTGAAGCTGGTTGAGAGAATGCCAAGAGTGTGCATAGCTGTCAAGGCAAAGGGTGGCTAGTTTGAAGAATTTAAAATATATTTTGATTTGTTTAACACTTTTTTGGTTACTACATGATTCCATATGTGTTATTTCATAGTTGTGATGTCTTCGCTATTATTCTAGAATGTAGAAAATAGTAAAAATAAAGAAAAACCCTTGAATGAGTAGGTGTGTCCAAACTTTTGACTGGTACTGTATGTATTGTGTTTATAAATTAAATATTGTCTAGGCTACTCAAAATCTGACATTATAGTATTCAGATGTAGCCTACAAACATTGGAAAAGGTGAACTGTCTGTTCTACTGTTAAAATGCGCTTCGGATCAGATCGCGTACAGCAAAATACTTTAAATACCGGAAGCTTATCTATTTACTGCTGTGAAAATGAGAAATGGTAGCCTATCCTAACTTGTTGTAGGCCTATAGGGTACTTCACGAGTATGAAACCATCACAGTCAGAAAAGGTAAGGAATTTGTTCTGCAATCAATTTTCGCTCTTCTCACTAACAGCAAATTATTACATCTTGTTATTATATTTAGCTACCGTTTTTTTTGTCATTTATAAGTCATCATATATTCTCTATTTGCACAAGGCTACTAGGCTACTGTTGCCTTCTTGCAATGCAATACTTCAACCACTACAAACTGTGCGCACGCATGGTCTAATGTTTGCGGGAGGATGAGCACATTCTCACAGTCAAGTTTAGTTTTTATAAATGTCAACTTGTGCATGAAAACTGGCGCATGCATGTTTTGGGGAATATTTTGTGCATATGCAATGTTTATAAATGAGGCCCCTGGTGAATTAACTGTAGCTGGATTAGTGTAGAGGTGGTGGTTATGGAGGGGGCGGAAACACTGTCCAAGCGGGGTACAGTGGAAGGAAACCTGACATCCTCTAGTCTGCATGGCTGAGTTCAGACTCAGAGTTATCTAGGCTGCTGCTCACCGTCCACTATGTTGAGTATGAGTGCCAGGACTGGGCCGCTGGAGGGGGCGTCTGGGACGTGCATGGTGTACTCCCCCACAGTCAGCTTCAGTGGGTTCTCATTCAACACAGGCCGGTACTCCAGCAGGTCCTCCAGGGTGATAATCCCACCTGAGAAGAGGAAATAACTGCTCAAGAAGCACATCGACACACTGCCTATCAGATTTGTCTCGCCTGGTTATTCTCATTGTGTACAGCAAGAACGATGAGATATAATAGGATATTATCATGCACAAAAATAAAGACCTGCTGCCTGGATGTCATCCACAATTGTTTGTGCCATTGTCCCATTGTAAAAAACCTTCGGTCCCTCCTCTGCTATCCTCTGGTAGGTGTCTGCTAGTTTGGGAAATTTAACGATGTCATTTTCCTTCAGGATGTTTTTCTGGGAGTCACAGAACACTTCACTGGAATAGAAAAACAAGAACAGAGAACTTATTATCAGGAGTTATTCAAGCAAACCTGTATAATAAAAGGACCAGTATTCCCATGGCTTTGTCATCATAGGTTTTACAGCGGCCAATCAAATAAATCATCAGTGGTCATAATAAATCACAGAGGAAGCGATGAATGACTTGCATTATGTAATAAGTAATTAATATATTTTTGGACATCAAAGTAATCACATTTTATTGGTTGAAATATGTGGTACTCTGTGGTAAAACCAACTAATCCTATTACAGCACTTCATAGAGCATTACATTCACGCTGACATTAAAGGTAGATTTGTAGAAGTGGTTGTAGTAGTAATATAGCATTTGCAGATAATAAAATAAAATAAACATTTCAGTATTTGTCCTGTCCTCACCACATATTGGCATCTCCTTGAATAGCGTCCTTATTCTTGGAGATGGCTTTGGCCAGGGCTTTGCCTATAGGGAAACCGATGCGTGCCAACGTAATGCTTGGCTCAAACAGATCCTTCCATGGCAGCCTACCATGTCTGCTGTGTGCCATCTCGTAACCACGAATCTCCCCAGGAATGGCAATAGACAATCCACCTGTTATGCAGAGAAGACTTTACCACCATTTGCACAAAGTTGAAACCCTGCTCACAAAGGATTTCAAGAACATATCAGTCTATTTCCTCATTTTGACAGGTGAAACTGTTGTCCCCTTGTTGTAGCCATGCATATGATGCAGACGGTTAGACCTATTGTTCCTTAGAATGATGGGAAAACCAGGAAAGAGGATGCCAGAAGGTTCATACTATTCCTGCAGTGTTATCTTCTCTCGATCCCTCTCACTGTGATACATTACAGCTACCGTATTACTGTTCAGCTGTTATCTTAGGATGGATTGAACCACAGATCCTGCCTAGCCTATCCTGTACCTGACGTACATTCCAGAACAGTAAAACGGGTACCTTTCCGAGAAAGCTGGGTGTTATTGCCAAACATGTCTTCTGTCGCGTTCATGGGGGCTGTCTCCCTCGCGTCAATAGTTTCAACCTTCCCTGTCGAGCAGTGATACAAAATGCAGACATGGATGTGTTCATTAGCATTTTTTCATTTGTGGAGGTTGAGGACACACTGACTCACCTGTGGAAGCGTTATAGATGGTGAAGAAGAGCCCCCCTCCAATGCCCATGCTGTGAGCGTTCAGGAGGCCAACACACAGAAGGGCGGCGATAGATGCATCCACCGCTGAGCCATTCCTCTTCAGAATATCCCTAGGTACACACACACACGTAATGCTCCTTGTAGAGCTTAATCGTGTCCTGTCATTTGACTAACTGTGTACCATGAATCATTGTATCTCAGTGGGAAATAGTTGGCTAGCGTAACATTACTTACCTCCCCACCTCGGAGCACGTCCCAGCATCTGCAGCCACGGCAGCTTTGGAGTAGAAATGGTCTGAGGGGGAGATGGGGCTCTTGTTTCCCACCCCCATGAACACCCCCACTAACACTCCCACTGCAGCCACCAGCAAAACTACCAGCCCAGCCACCAGGGATTTCCTGACCATTTTCCTGCCCAGGGGAACCAACACACCAACACATCTTACAGTTAGACAGGAGCCTTACAGGCATATTTATTCTTGATTGATTTGATTGAATTGATTAGATAATTAAAAGTAGTAGGCTGTGGCATATGGTGGTCTAGCGGTCTAGGCCACTGCCTCCTGTGCACATGTACTGCTGCAGCATGGGATCCAATCCGGCCCACTGCTATTTCAGCACTCCATCTTTCACCTCGATCCCTCTATCAAATAAACATACAAAGACTTAAAAAGAAAAATATATGTAATTTTTAAACACTGTTTCCCATGCTTGTTCAATGAACCATAAACAATTAATGAACATGCACCTGTGGAACGGTCGTTAAGACACTAACAGCTTACAGACGGTAGGCAATTAAGGTCACAGTTATGAAAACTTAGGACACTAAAGAGGCCTTTCTACTGACTCTGAAAAACACCAAAAGAAAGATGCCCAGGGTCCCTGCTCATCTGCGTGAACGTGCCTTAGGCATGCTGCAAGGAGGCATGAGGACTGCAGATGAGCTTTACACCGAGGCCTGTACTCTGGAGTGTCCGTCACGGTCTGGGGCGGTGTGTCACAGCATCATCGGACTGAGCTTGTTGTCATTGCAGGCAATCTCAACGCTGTGCGTTACAGGGAAAACATCCTCCTCCCTCATGTGGTACCCTTCCTGCAGGCTCATCCTGACATGACCCTCCAGCATGACAATGCCACCAGCCATACTGCTCGTTCTGTGCGTGATTTCCTGCAAGACAGGAATGTCAGTGTTCTGCCATGGCCAGCGAAGAGTCTGGGACCTGTTGGATCGGAGGGTGAGGGCTAGGGCCATTCCCCCCAGAAATGTCTGGGAACTTGCAGGTGCCTTGGTGGAAGAGTGGGGTAACATCTCACAGCAAGAACTGGCAAATCTGGTGTGGTTCATGAGGAGGAGATGCAATGCAGCTGGTGGCCACACCAGATACTGACTGTTAATTTTGATTTTGATCCCCCTTTGTTCAGGGACACATTATTCAATTTCTGTTAGTCACATGTCTGTAGAACTTGTTCAGTTTATGTCTCAGTTGTTGAATCTTGTTATGTTCATACAAATATTTACACATGTTAAGTTTGCTGAAAATAAATGCAGTTGACAGTTAGAGGACGTTTTTTCTTTATTTTTGACTATTTTCTACATTGTAGAATAATAGTGAAGACATCAAAAATATGAAATAACACATATGGAATCATGTAGTAACCACAAGTGTTAACCAAATAGGCAAAAATATTCTTCAAAGTAGCCACCCTTTGCCTTGATGACAGCTTTGCACACTCTTGGCATTCTCTCAAGCAGCTTCATGAGGAATGCTTTTCCAACAGTCTTGAAGGAGTTCCCACATATGCTGAGCACTTGTTGGCTGCTTTTCCTTCACTCTGCGGTCCAACTCATCCCAAACCATCTCAATTGGGTTGAGTTCGAGTGATTGTGGAGGCCAGGTCATCTTTCAACACTCCATCACTCTCCTTCTTGGTCAAACAGCCCTTACAAAGCCTGGAGGTGTGTTTTGGGTCATTGTCCTGTTGAAAAACATATTATAGTCCCACTAAATGCAAACCAGATGGGATGGCGTATCGCTGCAGAATGGTGTGGTAGCCATGCTGGTGTGCCTTGAATTCTAAATAAATCACAGACAGTGTCACCAGCAAAGCACCCCCACACCATCACACCACCTCCTCCATTCTTCACGGTGGGAACCATACATGCGGAGATCATCCGTTCACCTACTCTACGTCTCACAAAGACACGGCGGTTGGAACCAAAAATCTCAAATTTGGACTCATCAAACCAAAGGACATATTTCCACCGGTCTAATGTTCATTGCTCGTGTTTCTTGGCCCAAGCAAGTCTCTTCTTATTATTGGTGTCCTTTAGTAGTGGTTTCTTTGCAGCAATTCGACTATGAAGGCCTGATTCACACAGTCTCCTCTGAACAGTTGATGTTGAGATGAACTCTGTGAAGCATTTATTTGGGCTGCAATCTGAGGTGCAGTTAACTCTAATGAACTTATCCTCTGCAACAGAGGTAACTCTGGGTCTTCCTTTCCTGTGGCGGTCCTCATGAGAGCCAGTTTCATCATAGCGATTGATGGTTTTTGCGACTGCACTTGAAGAAAACTTTAAAAGTTCTTGAAATGTTGACTGACCTTCATGACTGACCTTCATGTCTTAAAGTAATGATGAACTGTCGTTTCTCTTTGCTTATTTGAGCTGTTCTTGCCATAATATGGACTTGGTCTTTTACCAAATAGGGCTATCTTCTGTATACCACCCCTACCTTGTCACAACACAACTGATTGGCTCAAACGCATTAAGAAGGAAAGAAATTCCACAAATTGACTTTTAACAAGGCACACCTGTTAATTGAAATGCATTCCAGGTGACTACCTCATGAAGCTGGTTGAGAGCATGCCAAGAGTGTGCAAAGCTGTCATCAAGGCAAAGGGTGGCTACTTTGAAGAATCTCAAATATATTTTGATTTGTTTAACACTTTTTTGGTTACTACATGATTCCATATGTGCTATTTCATAGTTTTGATGTCTTCACTATTATTCTACAATGTAGAAAATAGTTTTAAAAAATAAAGAAAAACCCTTGAATGAGTAGGTGTGTCCAAACTTTTGACTGGTACTGTATATATAATTCTAAAAATTAAGTATTTGTATGCACTGAAGGCAGCGTCCTAGACCACTAGACCACCCTATGCCACATATAGATATATATATACACAACTAAAATATAAACACAAAATGTAAAGTGTTGGTCCCATGTTTCATGAGCTGAAATAAAAGATCCTATACATTTTCCATACGCACAAAAAGCTTATTTCTCTCAAATGTAATTTACTAATACGTCCCTGTTAGTGTGCATATCTCCTTTGCCAAGATAATCCATCCATCTGACAGGTGTGACATATCAAGAAGCTGATTAAACAGCATGATCATTACACAGGTGCTCCATGTGCTGGGGACTATAAAATGCCACTCCAATCAATCAATCGTCTGAGACCAGCCACCCGACCCGGACAGCTGATAAAACTGGGTTTCCACAACCAAAGAAACCGTCTCAAGGAAGCTCATCTGCGTGCTCATCATCCTTACCAGTGTCTTGACCTGACTGCAGTTTGGCGTCGTAACCACCTTCAGTGGGCAAATGCTCACCTTCGATGGCCTCTTCAAGGATGAATCCTGGTTACAACTGTACCAGGCAGATGGCAGACAGTGTGTATGGTGTCGTGTGAGCAAGCGGTTTGCTGATGTCAGAATTGTGAACAAGAGTGCCCCATGGTGGCGGTGGGGTTATGGTATGGGCAGGCATAAGCTACGGACAACGAACACAATTGCATTTTATGGATGGCAATTTGAATGCACAGAGATATGTGACGAGACCCTGAGACCCATTGTCGTGCCATTCATCCGCCACCATCACTTCATGGTTCAGCATGATATTGCATGGCCCCATGTTGCAAGGATCTGTACAGAATATGGCCTGGTTTTTCCATGGCCTGCATACTCACCAGACATCACCAATTGAGCATGTTTGGGATGCTCTGGATCGATGTGAATGACAGCGTGTTCCAGTTCCCGCCAATATCCAGCAACTTCGCACAGCCATTGAAGAGGAGTGAGACAACATTCCACAGGCCACAATCAACAGCCTGATGGGTCCTCAGTTCCTCAAAAGGTTTTACAGCTGCACCATCGAGAGCATTCTGATTGGTTGCATCACTGCCAGGTATGGCAACTGCTCGGCCTCTGACCACAAGGCACTCCAGAGGGTAGTATGTACGGCCCAGTACATCACTGGGGCCAAGCTTCCTGCCATCCAGGACCTCTATACCAGGCGTTGTCAGAGGAAGGCCCTAAAAATTGTAAAATACTCCAGCCACCCTAGTCATAGACTGTTCTCTCTGCTACTGCACAGCAAGTGGTACCGGAGCGCCAAGTCTAGGTCCAAGAGGTTTCTAAACAGCTTCTACCCTCAAGCCATAAATGGAGTGCTCCTAATCTCAGCTTGTTACCTGTATAAAAGACACCTGTCCACAGAAGCAATCAATCAATCAGATTCCAAACTCTCCACCATGGCCAAGACCAAAGAGCTCTCCAAGGATGTCAGGGACAAGATTGTAGACCTACACAAGGCTGGAATGGGCTACAAGACCATCGCCAAGCAGCTTGGTGAGAAGGTGACAACAGTTGGTGCGATTATTTGCAAATGGAAGAAACACAAAAGAACTGTCAATCTCCCTCGGCCTGGGGCTCCATGCAAGATCTCACCTCGTGGAGTTGCAATGATCATGAGAACGGTGAGGAATCAGCCCAGAACTACACGGGAGGATCTTGTCAATGATCTCAAGGCAGCTGGGACCATAGTCACCAAGAAAACAATTGGTAACACACTACGCCGTGAAGTACTGAAATCCTGCAGCGCCCGCAAGGTCCCCCTGCTCATGAAAGCACATATACATGCCCGTCTGAAGTTTGCCAATGAACATCTGAATGATTCAGAGGAGAACTTGTTGAAAGTGTTGTGGTCAGATGAGACCAAAATTGAGCTCTTTGGCATCAACTCAACTCACCGTGTTTGGAGGAGGAGGATTGCTGCCTATGACCCCAAGAACACCATCCCCACCGTCAAACATGGAGGTGGAAACATTATGCTTTGGTGGTGTTTTTCTGCTAAGGGGACAGGACAACTTCACCGCATCAAAGGGACGATGGACGGGGCCATGTACCGTCAAATCTTGAGTGAGAACCTCCTTCCCTCAGCCAGAGCATTGAAAATGGGTCGTGGATGGGTATTCCAGCATGACAATGACCCACAACACATGGCCAAGGCAACAAAGGAGTGGCTCAAGAAGAAGCACATTAAGGTCCTGGAGTGGCCTAGCCAGTCTCCAGACTTTAATCCCATAGAAAATCTGTGGAGGGAGCTGAAGGTTCGAGTTG